CTGTAGACGCACGATCGTCTTGAGCTCTGTTGCATCGGTAGATCGCTTTGCAAATTCTAAATTGTAAATTCAAAATTCTAAATGACTTGGCTAATGGCAACTGAACGGGGCTTGTCTGTGACGAGGCTTTTCTGCAATCAGTTGCATGATTCAACAACAATCTTGTATGCGCTCTAGAACTTGCCCAGGTGCCCCTTGAAATCATTGAGTTTCATCACTTGCTGGATTTTGTTTTGTAAATCTTTTAATTATTTCCGTTTGCATGTGAATTATTTAACAAGAGAATGGGCTTCGAACGGCCGACCGACCTATTGTCATCGTCTGAAGTCGCAGCATTGAATCGTAGAATTTGTCTTAAAGCAACCGCTCGAGCGCCGCCCCATGACATACAAAAAAAACAAAAAAACAAAGCCGAAAAGATCTTTCTAGTTTTTTTAAGATAAGTAATTTGTTTAACCCAGCGTTTGATCAAATACCAACAACTGTTTAGGTAAACACCCTGTTGACGCGTTCTACTACTTAGCATAAGGTCGAAACATTGCCAGCGGTTTGGGGACTTAAGTCTGCAAACTTTCCATTGTATGCAAACCGGTTTTAGTTTAGAAATTAATAACCCATAATTGGAAATGGAAAATTATTAGAATGCAAGCACAGAGCTGTTATTATAACAATGGCAATTACATTGTTTTACAACTAATTAGATAGGAAAAGGAGGAAAATTAAATTCTGGAATGTTTCTCCTGTTGTTTTTAAGCCATCTACACCTAACTTTCTACACCTAACTTTAAATTTGTATAAAATTTATTTTATTTTTTCTTAGGTTTTTTTTATGATAATTATCATATATTTTCTTATCGGGTTGTGAGCAAATCAAATAAACCATTCTAAGGGTACTTTATAAGTAAAGTCTACATGTTTCGATATAAACAAACAAGTAAAGTTTGTTATATTGAAATATTTTTCGTGCATTAATGTGAACTAATATGACATTATAACTACTTAATCGATCAGGTGAATCTTAAAGTTAACTTCATTAAATAAAATGTTTAAGCAGCACGAAACAATAACAATTTGAAAGCTCAAGATAAACAGCCGCAAAGTCAGCTTCTCGTTTCGTTTGTCAACACGAACAAATCACAAATCAAAAACCACAAATTTGAGCTTATGTCAAGAACCAGATTGACTTGAATTTAATATACCCTTGAAGAGGGCATTATGAAGAGGGTATTATGATATTGTCACGAAATGTATACAAATAGTTGGAGCTGCCTTTGATGCCATTGACTATATATGGGTAGAACATCGAACTATCATGTATCATCTAGCACTATGGGTAATATTGCGGGAAAAATTAATTTTGGTTCTATATATTTACATCTTCTGCTTTTCCAGATGTATCTTAGTTTACCAGGCAGTCATGTCAACATCTTCCATTTAGTTGGGCCCATAAATTATGAATAATACCGCGCTGAAAATGGAGTACACTTTAAATAGTCTTCGGCTTCATTTACCAAAAAAGCGAAGCTATCTTGACAAAACTTAGCCATAGCGAGCTTGAAAATTGTCTTAAGATATCTCAAGTATTTATCTAACTATTTCATAGAGTTCCCAGAAGTACAATCTGTCGGAAATAAAGCTGTGCTATGAAAGTATTGCCAGGTCACATGTTGGCAAGGGTATTTAGTAGGCGGCTTCTTGTCATTTCTGGCTCAGTTATTTGTTGTAATTCTTGTGCAGGGTAAGCGTCGGCGGCTAAAGCTATGCCAGAACCTTGCCGGCAAGTTCTTGGCAGAGCCAAATGGTCCGTTGGCTCGTTGGCTCGCTGGCTAGTTGGCTGGTTGGCGACCAAGGTTTGACAAGAATCGATGACATTCAGGCGGCGGCATTCGAGTCAAGGTAGCGCCGTTGCCAACTGGTGCGCAATTTCGCAATAGTTGGCAACTCTGCGCGCCTAACGGCAATTAAAGTTTTCGGCACAATCGATAGTTAGTTAGTTGCCGTTGTTGCTGTTGTTTTTGCCAATTTGCTGCTAAGTAGTCAAGAATTTTGTTAGCCGTTGTCTTTGACCGACTTTTCAGCCGGCGAAACTGCGGCCAAATGCGTTTGGCGGCTGTTTTTCGTCTTTGTTTTTCCTTTTATGGCGCGAAATTGTCACCTTTTTTTTTCTTCTCTTTTTAGTCTTTGGAGTTTAGCGGACGCGACTCTGACATTTGTCTGCGTGGGCGTGGCACTGTGGCATGCCACTCATGAACTCTGCGCCTGTTGCAATACTTTGGCTCAATCAGGCAGGTTCGTGTTGACGCAGCTGTTGCTGTAGCATATCAGTAAAAAAAAGAACTAAAAAAAAAAACCCGAATGCGATTCGATAGTCTTGTCTAGTGATGATGACTGGACGGTTTTTTGATCTTGGTTAGCCCCCTCCGCTTCACTAGCCGTTAATTTGTCGCCAGTAGATTGTTCTTTTGGCGACAGTCGTCGGCATACTTGATTGTGTTCGACTGGGTGCGACTCGTTTTCAGCCTGTTGCGGCTGATTTTTATTAATCCGAATTTACATACTATACGCAGCTACGCACTATTGGGCTTTTTTCTGTATACCCTGTAAGTGTTTGGGCTGCAAAATGGGGTGTTCTTGAGGTGTGGCCATAACGAGTTGCGTTTGTGGCTCAACTTTCGGTCTGAACTCGAGAATTCTAAAAGCTAGAGTTATGAAATTTGGTACGCAGCCTTTTTGACCACAAACAAAGGTAATTAATTTCAAATATTTACTATAACCCAACAATTTCTTGAGTTACAGCCATAAACTTTTGGAATGCGTGTACATTTTTATGTAATATTTATATTCTTTGTATTTGGAGCTGTCTCAAAAGTAACTTTCGCATCTTTGATACTCTTGTGTATTCAGTTTTCATGCATTTCAAGGAAACTTGCTTGAACAGCTTTCCCTCTCTATATACTCTACAATATTGCTCTAATTGACTGTATATTATTCTATGTATATGCTATGTACATATATTATTCCGCGGACTTAATTGTTGTTTAATGCAAAGATTTAATTAATTTGCACCTAAGCTAAATGTTTGTGGAATCATATAGACTGGTATATATCTAGTATGTCGATATCGTTGACGCTTGCTAATGAGTGTATTTCACAATCGCATAGCTTAAAATCGTTTGCATTGTTTTGCTACATTTATGGATTCGATTTGTAGACACTCGTAAATATTTATTTTGCAAACAGCCGAAGAATAAGCATATATATCTGTGAATATTTTCATGTAGAGAGAAGTTGCGCCCTGTTATATGACTAAACATAAAAAACCAACCATAAAAACAAAAAAAAAAAAAAACAAAATGAAAAAAGCCAAACATGAAAATCGTTTTTTGCAGCCAACACACAAATCTTCTACCAAAGAATCTTCAAGGTTGCCAGCAAAAGACACACAAATAAACTCCGTCAAGAAACCGCGAAAGAAACAAACTAGCGCTGATTGCGAGAGAGAACGTTAGAATTGGTAGTAAAAAGCAATAAACCAGTTTTGAGGTACCGCAACGGTTAAATGCATAGATAATTTCTGTATCAAAAATATATATATAAAAAAGTATATCAAAGCTCCACAGCTGAAGAAGCGGATGCTGTATTTCTTCCTAAAGAAGATTCTCGAGGGGAAGAGAAATATATATCAATTGCGTTTTAACTAAGATCTGATCAACTGAATTTTTGTTATTATCAAATATTGCAAATACTAGAACAAATAATAGCAAAATATTGCTTGTTCAATTTGTTAGAAAGTCACTAAAATTCCAACCCCTCATCTATGCATTTTAATTAACTTTTTTTAAACTAATTTTTTTATATATTTTTTCTATTTATTTATGTTTTGAGTAATAAAAGCTGTGATAAATGTTGCAAATTGTTGCGGCATTTGAACCGGCGACCTTCCGCTTGCTAGTCTGACGCTCAAACTCTCAAGTCACTCAGGCTCTTGACGTTACGTTTGTCATTCTGGATTTATTTAGATATCAGATATTATATACCAAAATTTACGTTTATAAGTGCGAATATAAAAATTATGCATCTTGCAATCTAATATTTAAAGTGATCTTTAGTTGTAAATAATCTAAGGGATCCCTTTTTATATGAAACATCCTTACCTTAGTTTTATATATAAGTAGCAGGACGCAGCTGAGCTTATATAATTCAAGTGCCCTCTAATAGAAAGTGACCTTAATATTTGCATCTTAGTAATTTGATTTTCCAGAAGTACGTAAGTTCATTAAGAAAATCTATATCTATACTCATAAAGAATATCTATACTCATTGGGAAGAAAATTTCACGAAAATCTCGAAAAGCCGAATAGATTTTTAAGGTAGAGTAGTTAGTAACAAAAGGGTATAGTATTGTACAGTTAGCCACAATTGGTACGATTAGTTTGGTATTGTAAAGTTCATCTAGGTACAATGAGGTACAGTAGGGTACAGGAAAGTAAGGTGCAGTAAGGTACGGTAGGGTACAGTTGTGTACATTAGAGTACAGTAGGGTACAGTAGGGTACAGTAGGGTACAGTAGGGTACAGTAGGGCTCAGTAGCATACAATAGGGTAACGTATAGTAGCGTAGGGTACATAAGGGTACAGTAAGTCACTGTAGGGTACAGTAAAGTACATAAAGGTACATAAGTGTACATTATGGTACAGTAAGTTACTGTAGGGAACAGTAGCGTACAGTCTGGTAAGGTAGGGTACTATGTGTTATAACTTATTATAGTACGGTACACTTGGATTGACTACGTAACTAACTGTACCTTAGGGTACTTTAGTTTTCACAAATTTAGTTAGAGTACAATGCCATTGGGTGCGTATAGGGTAGAGTAGTACTATAATAAAAAGCTATTTACAATTGAGTACAGTTGTTTCAATTAGGTACACATGAATTTAGTAGGCGGCATAACTCTTCTGTGTGGTACATTGAGTTAATGTAGGGCCCAGCAAGTTTCAGTAGGCTGGAGTACTGAATTTAAAAAGCTGTGCCTTGTCTGACTGAAGTTACAAGCATTCAAATTCCAAAAAGCAATCAAATCGTTGGGATACATCTGCTAGCCAGGTACTGTGAATACGACAACAACAACAAGCCGCAGCAAGATGTCCAGATCCGGTGCACAGGAGCAGGAGCAGCAGCAGCAGCAGCAACTGTTAGATAGCCGCATTAAGAGCCGCAATGAGGAGGAAGTGGCCAGCATCCCGGAGCAAGTGGATTGGGCGCTCCATGCAAAGCCGGGACCCTCAGCTGCAGCCTTGGCCAATGAGTTATCGCCGGTGAACAGCTATCAGGAACAGGTGGCAACATCTGCCCCAGCTGAGCAGCCAGTTGGCCTCGAGCATGATCAGGAGCTGGACTCACGCTGGGGCCGCATGTTGCGCACGATGACCCGTTGCCTGGTCTACTGCACCGAGCGCCTGGCCGCCGGCTTTGGGCTGAGTCGCCAGCAGACGGCCTGGTACAAACACTGCTGGGACAATCCAAGCCCACATCCACGTGGCATTACCATTCTGGGCGCCACGGACAGATTCATAGCGCCGCATTCCATGATGGCAGAAGCTGCGGAGGAGAATACGATTTGATTGCTTCTAATTCTCTTGATATTTCAAAAAATGAAGAAATGATAGCTTAGCTTTTCGATAAATTATATAATAATGTCTTGTTCCCTGAATACACTGCTTTTTTTTAGCTGTTGCCACGGACACACCCCAAGACCAGTTTCTTCTTCCATCTCTGGTGTCTGGTTTTCGACGTGTGACAAAAAATAATTTATTCATTTGGAATATAAAACGCAGAGCTATTGTTTTAATATCTTTGTGATGCAGTCGCTTATGTTTTATTTGAATTTTTTTTTTGTGGATAGTATTTCAATTTTTAGATTTTCAAGTGTAATCTCTTTATAAAAGATAATGTCAATCTTGATCTGCCTTAGGTTTAAGAGCACATACATAGCGGGTATTAACCGGTTTTACCCGATGATTGATCAGCACTTTTCCACGCATTTTCCGCACGTGGAATACTTTAAAATTCCTCTGCTACTTTTAGCACACATGCATCCATTGGAATCGGTTTCCGCCTTTGGTGAATTGTCTTAAACATAAAATAATTCACACAGAATTTTGAAAATTAAATTGTAGTCGATTCGAGGGAACTCAAGAATTGGCAGCATTTCCGCCCAATAGAGAAAAGTTCTTAATCACAATGAATTTGTACAAAGATGCTTGAAAGTGAATTCGAAGCCAATCGGAGGGTAAGCCAAATGTTTCACCCAACCGTTTTCCACGCTTTTCTCACACTTGCGGGTGGAATCAACCAAAACGTCATCTAAACGTGAAATAACATGAGATTGAGTAAATACAGTAGGAGCTGTGGGTTGTCAATCAGTCAGTCAATCCGTCAGTCAATCCGTCAGTCAATCAGTCAGTCAATCAGTCAGCTAATCTGTCAGTCAATCAGTCAGTCAATCCGTCAGTCAATCAGTCAGTATGAATAGTTTTTATATAGGTATCCGTCTGTTTGTTACTATCTATACCTTCTCTCTTATTGAGACAATAAAAAAGATCGTTAATCTTTTCTCGATCCACGCTTTTTTCACACTTGCGGGTGGAATCAACCAAAACGTCATCTAAACGTGAAATAACATGAGACTGAGTAAATACAGTAGGAGCTGTGTGTTGTCAATCCGTCCGTCAATCCGTCAGTCAATCAGTCAGTATGAATAGTTTTTTAATATAGGTATCCGTCTGTTTGTTACCATCTAGACCGTCTCTCTTATTGAGACAATAAAAAAGATCGTTAATCTTTTCTTCACACATATTCCATATATATTTTTTGAAGCAAATAATTATTATAATCTTGATAGTGACAACTATTTTGACAGCTGCCTGCACCCACTTTGTGCACTTCCTTGCTCTTGTTCTTCTTCCGCTCTGCAAGTGTTTGAACTCTTGCTGAATACCGACACTTGAAAATGTTTTGTGTATATTTTAATTGTTTTTTATGTGGCGGATCGTTGAGCCGTTGACGTCACTTCCAGCTTGTTGAATATGAGAAAAAAACAAATCTCAAATAATTGCACACTTTAAAGTGCTTATGAGCTGAGCGCAAACAAAAGTGCTACCAAAATAATTATGAGCCCAGTCAACTGAATGGCAATTGACTGACAATCGGCAATTGTCAGAGTTAAGATCTGATTCAAACTGAACAATTGTCCACATGCTTGGCAATTATGCATTATATGTTCAAATAACAAAAGAAAAAACGTCTAACTTCCATACGCCGCAGCTTAAATGCCCTTTCGATTGTCGTGACAAATATTATGGGAGTCTACTTTAATAAGTTTATGCAGATACTATTTGTGGGCAGAATAGTGTAGCTTGTGAATGTCTAGTTTGTTGAAGGTAGTTTGGAAAGTGGAAAGCTCAAAATGCGACTGATTCTTTTTATAAAACTGTATAAAATAGAAAAACGGGGTTTCGAGTTATTTCACCCGCAAGTGTGGAAAAATCGTGAAAATGAAAAGATGTTTCACATTCCTTTCGGTATAAACGGCAGTCAAAGACCTATAAGACGAACCTATAAACGCGCAGATAAAGCTCGTTTGAAGTTGGAAATGAACTTGAACCCGAAACTTCATCCAGCAAATCTTGAAGCTTGCAATATATTTAACTTGATGTGCCTTCCCTTTGCACAAATATTATAAATGGCCGCTGCAAGGGTATACAGATGGGTTCACACTGAAAGCGAAAATGTTGTTCAACTGCCAAACGTTGGGCTAGTGAACCTCAAGTGCTGCGTCACGGCAGTCATCGGCCGGACAATCGGACAATCGGCTTATCGGACAATCGGCTTATCGATTGCCGATTGTCCGATTGGCCATGCTACGTAACGATATTCTATATGCACAATCGAACAATTAGCGATTATAAACGCACCTATTAGATGAATGATTAAGTTACAGCAAAACAAAGCAATTACATTGATGAACAGTAATTTATGGCCAGTTCTGGGCTTATATGTGTTAAAGTCTGTAAGGTATTTTAATTGGCGGGCCAGTGGCCTATTTCCGGGCATTAACTAACGCCCAGCGCTCAAGAAATTAAGTCAAGGTCGTCGCTAAGAATTCTAATAAACCAGTCTCCGCGATCCAAGTCAGATAATGATGCCGTTGATTATGTTGCCACTTATGTTAGTGTAAGCCATGGAGGCGATTATAACTATTTAAATACAGGGTCAAAGCTAGAGAGGGGAGATCGGTCGGATGGAGCGTTAGATGTTCTGTAGAGGCCCCGAAAACATTTCCGTCTCCAACATAGACAATCATTAATAATAATTCCAATGTGACGTTGTAATTTTTAAAATAGCTTCAATAATTAATGCATAACCTCTCCCTCTCTCTCTGTCTTTACAGGTGAGCCCAAACATAGAGTCTAGCTGGTTGCGAAGCGTGCGTGGTAAAAACTTCTTAGCCCTGAAATTCTTAATATTTTTTTTTTCATTTTCAGCTTAGTTTTTGGTTGTTGTTGTTGCTTTTTTCTTTTGGCTAGAGATCAAGTTCACTGGGTCTGGGTCAACTGGGTGGGCTGCGTGAGTTGGCTCTTGTCTAACGGATTCGCATGCAAATGCTAATTGACAAATCATATCAGACTATAACAAGTTTATTAACCTCTAAGTGGAACGTAACGACGCCGAACAAAAAAAGGAAGTTCATGCCTTTGATACTAAAAGAAAAAAATAAAAACAATAACAATAACAAGCTGTTGCCCGCGCAGAGTTTGTAGATGCGATTTAACTTCCGTCAGCCATTGACCCAGTTAACGGCTCGCTTTAGCTTTGCTTTGCATTGCCAAATTTTTATGTATCTACGTCTAAGATTTGTTTGGCTCGGCGAAGGGCACACCTGGTGACAAGTGGCAGCATAAGCCAACATCAGTTGCAGCCAATTGCGACCTGTGCTGCGTTCGCGTGCAACGTTGCGTATACGTAATGCTCAAACAAAGCTCTTCAAATGCCATAATCATGCGTAAACGTTGTTTGGCAAATGCGCTGTGCTCGTTTCTATAATTATTTAAATCCACACAATCAACTGCCACATACCAAATTTGCCAATCCAAACGCTGTTGGACTCCGAGTTCAGCTCAACTGTTTGGGCGGACGTCGTTGTCTTTGTTTCTGCAGGTGTTCTCTGTGGGCGTGTGCTCCACCATCAAACCAATGCATTCTATTCTGCAAGCGTAGTTTTTTCACGCAAAAAATGAGTCCACTTAAGGCAATTCGTTTATATAAACTCAGAGTTCATTTCTGCGTGTACTTTTCTGCACAAGAGATCACCTATCAAAATTGCTTTGTCTAGCTAACTTTGAGTTCTCTTCTGCGAGTACTTTTCTATTGCTAGCTACGTATACGTAATGCATAAACTACTTTAAATGCTCTAGCTGTGAGTGATTCACAAGCACATACCCTGTAATAGACAATATATATATATAGCTTACAAGCAGAGATAGCTTAAAAGAGTTGTGAGTGCTTCACATGCACATACCCTGTACTAGATGTAACTTACAAACAGAGATAGCTTAAAAGAGTTGTAAGTGCTTCACAGGCACATACCCTGTACAAGGGATGACATGGCAAATTAACTAAATCTAGCTCTTGCATTTCGTGAGCTCCAAAACTCAGTCAATCAGTTGAGTGAAGGCGTTCACTCCACATATATGGCTCTTAGATACCCTGCATTCGCTCTTAGTTCGCTAATGTTATTGTAACCTAATGTTAGTTAACCTAATGTTATTGTAGGCTATTTAATATCTTGTGCCTATACACAGCACACATTTGTATGACCCTTTTTTGCCAGAGTACAGGGTATAAACAGGTATAACAATTTGCGACGGCCTTCAACTGCGTGTTGAACCGCCTGCTGACCGTTAGCCAAGTGTAAAATGTAGCTGTAAAATGGTCAAGAGTCAACTCTCAGTTTTTGTTAGCTAAGCTTTATTAATTAAGTCAGCCAAAATTAGCATTTTATCGCTGAGCAAGTTTTTGTTTTTTTTTTTTTTTGTAGTGGAATATTTTCTTGTACCATTTTTGGAAGGCTTTCCGGGCAGGGTCTAAGCTTTTAACACCTTGTGTGCGTGTGTGTTGGAGACACGTTTCCGTTTTTTCTTAGCCGGAAAAATACCCAATGCAATTTGCATTGATTAGTCAATGGTCAGTCGATTCAAGTTGTATTGAATCAATGGAGTTTCCGGCTTCCGAACTTATGGACATGAAAATTGCTGTTCAAGGTCGCCAATCTTAAGCTCTTGAGATGATTTATGACCAAATTGTTGGGCGTTGCTCGCGACGAGTGGCTCGTGTTGTGGCCAAGTTCAAAGTTGAATTTATCGCCGATGCGCCCTTTGTCAGGGCTAAAAAGAAAAAATACCATAAAACATTTAACAATGCTCAGGCTGGGTGTGCTCGACTAGAAGATACCCTCATCTCCAGTTTCCCTTCTTCCCTTTCTTTCTTCTTTCTAACTTGGGTGTTTCTTGTCCGATTCTTATACAATTTTTAGGGCTTAAATATGGCGTACATTAGTGTGCACATACCAAAGCGCAAAGCTCTATCTTTGAAAATACGTTTTTGCTTATGTTGGGGACATGGGAGCAGGTATCCCAATAGCAAAATATTCTC